GCGATGGTTCCTAACATTCACTTCAGCTTCCACACAGACTCACACACGTGGACACCCACATGTATACACCCACATGTACTCACATGTGTACACCTACGTGTACTCTCACACCTGTACTCACACATGTATACCCACATATACTCATGTGTACACCCACATTCAAGCAAAAAAAAGTAATGTACATTTTACACAAAAAAGGGGAAATTGTTTCTTCTAAAACCAATCTGATGTATTTAGGAGGAATATTAACATTTATTAATTGTGGATGGATGTTATAGTCTATTATTCATTTAGTTGGATTTAGTTATTGGAGACAGGGTCTCATTTTGTAGCCCAGGCTAATTTTGAACTTGTGTGGTCCTTCTGCTTCAACTTCCCCAGTGTTGGGACAGATAGCCACAGATATGCCAGGCTATCATGTTCTTTATTTGTTTATTACTTATTTATATTTATGGTGCTGGGTATTGTACATGCTAGGTGAACTCCTATGGAGTTACACCCCCAGCAATGTTGTGTTTTTAAAGGAAAAGTTTTCCTGGTGAGTAGTTCTCCTTAAGATTCTGTTTGTATGCGTATGTATGTGTGAGTAAACATACATGCATGGATTCATATCTGTTGGATCCCTTAGAACTGGAACACAGCTATCCCACCATGGCACTCAACAGAGGCCACTGTTGAATCAACCTTTTAAAGAACTTGCTTGTGAAGTTCTTTGTGGCCTGGTGAACTGGGGTTCAAACACAGCTGCTTTCAGTCTCTTAGTAGGCCTTACCCTCTATCTTCCATTCCCAGACATTTATGTGGACCCCAGACAGGGGTAACCAAGTTCTTATTGGTTCTGATAAGCCAGTCGGATTGATTTCCTCCATGGCTCAGGTTATGTAGCCTTTGTCTTAAGGAGGGATGCAATGGGTAGTTAACTTGCCCATTTTCTGCTTCCATGGCAGTCAGACCGACCCATGTCCCACAGCCTCACAAGCCAGGCTGTGATGAGCTCTTTGATTGTTTCTTTAAATGTCTTCCCGACTTGTTCACATGCTGGTGACCACAGAGTCTTGTACTAGGCCACTGTTGATTCCATCTTGAGCTAGATGACAGATTCTCTCCTTTTCTACTATTACAGGTCAGACTGAGCGAGGGGTTTTCCAATCACTTTCTGTCATGTTCTTTTCCTCACTCCTCACTCCTATCCCATGGGCTCCAAGTTCTTAGAGCTCAGGAAGGGCTTTCGAACGTGAATCTTTGTACTTATTTTCATTTTAGCCTCCAGCTCTAAGAAATGGCAAGTCAATGCCTCTGTCGGGTCCTCTCATTTATCTAATACACTGCCAGATCAGAGGGATCGCTGCAATTTCTCCTTACACAAGTTCTTGCTTGGCTGCCTTCTCAGCCTCAGGTGTGTTTTTACCACACACAGCAATGGCCAGGCATCAACTTCTGTTGTTCCCTGCCATTAATCTCTACCTTGGTGAGACTGCAAAATTTTCTCAGACCTTTTTAGCTATTTTCAGTGCCTCCATCTTCATGTAATGGGCTCTACCTATCAAGCAGGCACCCACCCATACCACACATGACATGCCCTTCACAGGTACTCTAAATCCTAATGCTTCAGCCCAAGATGCAGTCTCGCCACCCACAGCAAGCACCATACAATTGCTGCCATGGCAAGAAGACGCTGTCACAGTAGACAGGAAGGGACAGCTGTAGTGGAATTTTCCCTCGGATGCACCACTCTTGAGCTTCTCAGCTTCAGTCACTTGACTCGCCACCCTGTGTGTCCAGGACCACATGCCTCTCTCCATTTCATCCTTTGTTCTGCCATGTCTCTGTTCAGGTGTCTCTTATGTTGTGTGACATTCTTTCTGTGGAGATATGAACAGTCTGTTCATCCTGTCTAGGGAACAAAAAGCTGGGAACCTAGGGCCACTGTACAGCCTGCAGGAAGCTCAGCAGGTTGGAGAGTGACCTTTTCTGGTAGCAGTTGTTCAGCCTCTTCCAGACACTGCAGCTTATCTGAGAGTCTTCTACACAGTTAGGCTAGTACCTGCTTCTAAACCGATATGGTTAGGCTGTTGTTCTCTGAGCAGTCTTTACTGGTTATATACTCTTAGGGAGGTAGGGGCCTAGTGAATCTGGTCAGGGTTTTTCTGAGCGCAAGGAGCTTCCTTGCAGGCTGGAGTATTTCACCTCCCCTTATAACAGTTCTCAAACTGTGGGTTACCCCCTTTTAGAGGTCACATCAGATATTTACGATTCATAATAGTAGCAAAATTTTAGCTGTGAAGTAGCAATGAAAATAATGTTGTGATTGGGGGTCAGCACAACAGGATAACTATTAAAGGTTTGCAGCAGGGACCCTTAGGGAGGTTGAGAACCACTGCCTTAGGGCAACATTGTTTCATTTCCCCCTTCATGTGCTGTGTCTTAGCTTGACTCTGGGGGGATACTGCTAAGTAGCACAAGTGAGCATCTCCAGAGGGTGACTGAATGTGAGGGACTGAGCTCAGGTCCCAGGCTTGCAGGGCAAGCACTCTGTCAGTGTTTTTCCAGCTCGTCCCCAAGGCTTTACTCTTTGGTCTTTGAGTTCGGCCCTAAGAGGGCCCTTGAACCATGTATTTGACGTGAGCCTAAGCATAACTTCTGGGATCTTGAAAGCCTGGGTGGACAGGGGTCGGAAGAGGAGAACTTGTGGATTGTTTCTTGCAGAGTGCCATCTTGCCAAGGAGATACATGCTGCGGGAACGACAAGGGACCCTGGAACCTGCCTCCCGACTGCAGGTAAGAGATGCTGGGTCCCTAGGCCCTGCCAGCGAGGGTATGTTCAATGGTATCATCTATCCTATCTTTGTCCTGTTAGCCTTTAGACCCTTGGCACTTCTTCCAGAAAATGAAGTCCTCCCTGTGTTCTCTGTACAGAGGCCTATACTTTGCCCTTCTCAGCTTCTGCTTGTGTTTTCTGCTCAGGAGACCCTGGACCCCTGGAAGAGCCTGGACCCTTTTGACTCCTTGGACTCTAAGCTCTTCCAGAAAGGTAAATAGGATTGGTGGCACCTTGCTCGTGTTGCCATGCCTAGGGCTCCTGGGGTAATGAGGTAATGCCCTGGAGGTGGGTTCTGTATCCCTTTCCTTGACTACTCTTGAGGCAGTTCCTCTCTGCCTCCAGGTAAACCCTATTCTGTGCCACCTGGTGTGGCGGAAGCTCCAGGACAGAAGCGCAAGAGGAAGGGGGCCACCAAGTTGCAGGACTTCCACCAGTGGTACCTGAATGCCTGTGAGTGTGTGGGCTAAGGTGACACACTCTTTCTTTCTCCTGGGTGCTGTGAGCAGACCCATCTGGAACAGAGGCTTTGGCCTTGCACTTGCTAACTACTCTCTCACAGATGCTGAGCATACCGATGGCAGGAGGTCTCGGCGGAAGGGCCCAACCTTTGCAGGTGAGGCTTAGGTCCTAGGCACCTGTTTAGAGAACAGTCTTTATCTCCTTCCCCAGCTCCACCCCCATCCTCCCTACCAGGGTCTCTTGAAGTGTGGACTAGTGTGAGCTTGGGCTGGATGGGGAATCCCATCCCTCATAAGGTCTTTGTCTGCAGACATGGAAGTCCTGTACTGGAAACACGTAAAAGAACAGCTTGAGACCCTTCAGAAGCTGCGGAGACGCAAGGCAAGTACCCATAGTACTGAGGTCTGAAACCCCACAGCTCTGAGGTGTGGAACACATCATGTTCTTACGATGTTCTCTGCACAGATGACTGAGAGATGGCTACCTGGGGCCCAGCAGGACCTGTGGCCTACAGAGGAGGACCGCTTGGAAGAGTCCCTAGAAGACCTAGGGGTAGCAGGTAGGTGCCTTTAGATGGAGGGAGGGCGTGTGTTGTGTGGTCAGGGTTGTGTTAGCACTCTCAGCACCTACTGCTGATTGAGCAGCAGCCTTTGGTCACGTCCCTTGTCTCAGCAGATGACTTTCTAGAGCCCGAAGAGTATGTAGAAGAGGCTGAGGGGGTGATGCCTGGGGAAGCTGCTGACCTAGGTAGGTCTGGAAGAAGCTCTGGGGGTTGGGGGGGTAGGGGAGTATATAGCCCCATAGCTGTAGCAACTCATGGCTGGACCTTTCTAGATGCAGAGGCCATGCCAGAGTCCCTGAGATATGAGGAGCTGGTCCGAAGAAATGTGGTAGGCCTGGGTCACAAAGGTGGGAGCACTGGGGATATCCTGGGCCCATACGTGCAAGGGAGAACCCACTGGTCTTTCTGTAGGAACTCTTCATTGCCACCTCCCAGAAGTTTATCCAGGAGACAGAGCTGAGCCAACGCATCAGGGACTGGGAAGATACCATCCAGCCCCTGCTCCAGGAGCAGGTGAGGCTGGCTATTTGGGAACTATAGCCTCCTACCACCAGCCTGGGGTTTGTCCAGAACTGTCTCCACTTGAAGCTAACATGTCCTTTCCCTATGCAGGAGCAGCATGTGCCCTTTGATATCCATACCTATGGGGACCAGTTGGTTTCACGGTTCTCCCAGCTCAATGAATGGTGTCCCTTTGCAGAGCTTGTAGCTGGGCAGCCTGCTTTTGAGGTGTGCCGCTCCATGCTGGCCTCCTTGCAACTGGTAAGTGTCCTGGGACACAAGGGAAGGGGCAACACCCCTGGGCTCTGCTGACGCCATGTTTTCACAGGCTAATGACTATACAGTGGAGATCACCCAGCAGCCAGGACTGGAGGCAGCTGTGGACACAATGTCTCTGAGACTGCTCACACACCAGCGCGCCCACACCCGCTTCCAGACCTACACTGCCCCATCCATGGCCCAGCCTTGAGTGGAGAGCACTGAGGCAGGGGTGGAAGGTAGTGCATACCTGAAAGCCGTTGCTCATAATGTGCTGCTCTGGGGCCATTTACTCCAGTGCTGCCTCCTGGCTGGCCTAGCCTAATAAAGTGTTGCTACCCCACCTGTTCACCCAACACACCATTTAAATGGGCTGCGGGTACAGAGCACACCCACAGATTAAGTTAATCCATTTAATGACAGGGCCTAGCCAGTAGTTCAGGGCAGGATGCTTTGGAAGGCAGCTATGTGCCGGCGAACACTGTCGACGATCTGCTCTGCTGACCTGCTGCGACCGTAGTAATCAGTGAAGAGACCATCTGGGTTGAGCAAATAGATGGCAATGGAGTGGTCCACAATATAGTCCTGGTCCTCATCCTTGGGACCAGCACTGTAGTATACACGGTAGTTACGACTAGCATGGGCCACTTGCTCTGTAGAACCGGTCAGACCCAGCAGTCTTGGGTGGAATTCTTGCACATACCGGGCCATGGCTGCCACGTCATCTCGTTCTGGGTCCACAGTGATAAAGACGGGCTGCACCAGGGGCAGGTCAGGCTCTGCCTCTAGCTTCTGCACCACCTGCACCAGCTTCTCCAGCTCATCAGGGCAAATGTCAGGGCAGTGAGTAAAACCAAAGTACATCAGCACCCACTGGCCTCGGAAGTCGGCTTTGCATCGTGGCTGGCCTTTGTGGTCCAGTAGGCTGAAGTCACCCTGGCCCACAGCAGCCTGGCGCAGCGCCTCTGTCCGTTGCTGTTGGCGCCACTGTTCCTTCTCAGCTCTTGCAGCCAGCCAGGCCCAGCCTAGCCCAGCCCCAAACAGGGCAGTGATCAGCAGTCTAGTCCTTAGCCCAGGGCCTTGGCGTTGGCCCTGCCCTGACAGGTGCCGGAAATTTCTGTGCAGAGTTTCACCTCCTGAGATCCTGAGAAGGGGTTTGAACTGAGAGAGCTTGGGCCAAGCTTTGGGCCCTAGAGCCAGTAGCATCATGGACCTTAAACTCCTGGAAAAGAACAAAGGTGGCAGAAGTCAGAAAAGATGGACAAGGTGCCTAGGCCTCCACTGCTGGAGAAACACCTGCCCCACATTCAAGCAGGTTAGAGAGCTGTCTGCACTGGCTTGTCTGAACTCAGAGCTGCTCTGCTGTAAGCTGCATGCAGGCCAGGCAACAGCAAATGTCCACAGCTGGTTTGCTCTAACCTAGTTCTTTAAGCAGGAAGTCTCGGCCTCATTGCCCCAACCTATAGAGAACCCACACTGCAACTGCCACGCTTCCCTGTGGATGCTCGGAAGCCCCGAGAATATGCTTTGCCTGGGCGCTAGAATGCATGTGTCTATTTACAATAAAAAAATTTTAAAGGATGTTGATACTCTGGCTTACCACTTTTAAGAGGTAATCCTTTCCAGCTTTAGTGTCACTTTAGGGTAATCTGGGGTTCAGCAGAAAACAAGTGCCACCAGTGTAACAGCACAGCTCAGTGCCTTGAACTTCCTACCCTCACCTTCCTGGGCAGATTCATCTGCACTGACCTGGATGCCATAGCCTGCACCTCTGGAGTCCTTCAGCCCTTGCCTCATGTTTTTTTGGCCCTTGAGGCTGTGTCAAGGGAAAGTTGTTAGAACTAGCATTTAGAGCCACTGGCATCCAGCCTCCTGGGCTCCCCCAATATTTTGCGCCTCCCTCCCCCACGGTGTGGCTCAACTTGGCTCTCATGAGATGGAGGGCGCATCCAGGGTACCATCAGCCCTGAGCTGGGACCACCCTGAGAAGATGGGATTGGTAAATAGTCACGATACGTCCATTTTCTGGGCCTCAGGTCTCCAGCTCACGTGGTTAGATGAAGCAGTAGCAGCAGTACAGACAAACCACGGAGGTCACGTGTTAACAGTGTCCTCATTCAGTCCCACCCCTTGTGCGGGAGGACTTGTCCAACTTCGCGAACTCACCTGGCTGAGGTGGGTTAGAGACTTAGGGCTATGCGGTGGTCGTTGGAAGGATAAGCTCTGCGAAGGGTGAAGGGGCCTTGAAGGGTGCTCGATCTGACAGCACGAGCGCCCCCAGTAGAGTGCGGCGCTGCTGGCTGCTGAGCGCAGGGCCGTCCAGGTGCACGCGGAGCCAGGGTGTCCCTGCGCGAGCGACGGAGGCGGTTACCTAGGTCACAGTGGGCGACCGGAAGGGTTGTTTATGGGTTCCTGACAGCGCTTACCGCGGGACAACCATTGGCCCACGTCGACCAGTAGCTCGGCACCCACTCCCGGTCTGATCGGCTGCCCCGCTTGGCTGCGTCCGGCTCCGAGCTCGTGCAGCACACGGGCCAGCGGCAGCGCTCGGACACACTCCACAATGCCTAAGAGAAAGGGTGGACACTGAGGACCTACGGGAAGACGCACGTGCCAGGACCAGGAAAGACACGGAGGGGAAGTGGGTGGGACCTGGTGCCGGACATATCCGGTCTCACCGTCTGCGGGTGCGAGCAGCTCCTCTTGCTCTCGGGCGTGAGGCAGCAGCTGCCGGCGTTGCGTGGGGCTCCCGGAACACAATGCTCTAGCTAGGCCGGGGTCCACGCCCTGCGCCGAAAGCATCAACTGGAAGCGGCGCAGCGCAGAGCCGTCATCCAACGCCGCGGCCACTCGGGCGGCGCCCTGGTCTTGTGTTTCCGCCTGTCCGCTAAGCCAAAGAATGGCGCCTCCTGCTGGCAGGCGGCGTGGAGCTCAGAAGCTGCAGGGATTAAGAGCTCTTGGCAGACAGACTGGTGGATTTAACCCCAGCCCTCTCACCTAGCCTGATGACCAGGTCCCGCAGATCCGGCGGCCCCGCACCATCCAGGCAAAGCAACGCTTCTTCTACTTCCAGGGTATGGCCCACGCTGCGGCCCAGAGGGTTATCCATGGCGGTCAGGGCTGCAGCGACCTGCAGCCCCAGCCCCGCTCCCACTCTTACCTGGGGAGGCACTATTCAGTATCCAGCTGGCATTGTCAAATCCCATCCCTGCTGCCCCTGGGTTAGGATGTCAGTGAAGGCTTAGGGTAGAGATCAGAAACCAACACTGCCAACACCTCAGAGGGGATGGGGGTGGTCTTGTCGGTCGCCCTAAGTGGAGGGGCTCTGTGGAGGATTTCCCCAGGTCCATGGTCAGGACAGCTTTAATCGGATAGGGTAGGAAAGCTGGAAAGAGGGATTGCCGTTTGGTTCTATGAGGACTGTTGAGTGGGCAGAGACCAGGGATACGTGAAGTTCAGGTCCCTTCATAGAAAGGCCACTATGGCCTAGCACGGCTCACCAACATCTTTGCCAGTTCTCGGGCCTTCTCCTGGTCTGGGAAGACTGCGGCCCCCCCAAACTTAACATCTACCACCAGAGTGGACAGTCCCTCCACGGCCTTCTTACTGAGGATTGAAGCTGTGAAGAACAGAAACATCATCCCAGGGTATACTTGGGGACAGGAAGGGTTGCCTCTCTGAGAAAGGTGGCAGTGCCTGGTGGATTGTATGTCAGTCAGGGTACCCCATTTCAGGTCACCTGTAATGAGTGGTACACTGTCCACAGTAGCTGTCACATCCCGTGCAGCATACAGGATTCCATCCGCAGGAACCAGTTTTTTGCTCTGGCCGACAATGCAGCAGCCGACTTCCTCGAGTATCTGGAGCATCTGCTCAGACACTTTCATTGACTTCAGGGGAAGGACCCGCTCACTGGCCCTGACTACTGACCCAGCAAAAGTTCAAAACATGGCCAGTGAGAGTCAATGTGATTCTGATGACTAGCCTGCCAAGGATTCTGATTAGTTATGACGCATTACTGTGTAGCAGCTAATCAGTGGTTTCTACCCGCTCCCAAGTAATGATCCCGACCAAAGTTCTCTTGAGGACTCCAGACCTATCTACAACCAATGACCTTTAGAATAGTCAATGGTCTCTTTCATTAGTGACCCAGATAAATAACCTGCCCATTGATCGTCCTGTGATTCTGGCCAGTGACTCCCTCAACCCAGATCATTGATCAATTAGTGGTCCGTCTGTACCTGCTCTGGGCTCTGGGTGACACTGAACCCAGGAATAGATTCCAGCTTATCCAGTGTGCCCCCTGTGTGTCCCAAACTTCGTCCGCTGATCATTGGCACCTGGTGGAGAGGGATGCTGACCACCCCTGAACAGCCCCCTTAACCTCATCTCTCCTCTAATAAGAACAGATGCAATTACATTTTTTGCCGGGTGGTGGTGGTGCACGCCATTAATCCCAGCACTTGGGAGGCAGAGGCAGGCGGATTTCTGAGTTCGAGGCCAGCCTGGTCTACAGAGTGAGTTCCAGGACAGCCAGGGCTACACAGAGAAACCTTGTCTTGAAAAACCAAAAAAAAAAAAAAATTTACATTTTTAAAAGTAGTTATATTTTAGAGTCTTTTAAACAGTAAATGTGGGTGCCTAATTGGCGGAAAAGAAAATAAACTGTATTTGGCGGGAGCAGTTTGTCAGCAGGGCAAGAGCTGGTACTCATTCATCAGGGACCCAAGTCTGAGGGACAAGAAGAGACCCTGCTCTTCCTTTTTGGGTCCTGTTAACTCTTAGAGGGTTCTGTTGGGTACAGAGGCAGCTCTATTCCGTGGTGGAACTTGTGTTATCAAGGGATAAGACAGCCCTGGGTTTTGTCTTTGAGAGCTTTGAGCCCGGCTTGAGGGTAGGTGGTGCCCCGTGAGTGGATCAGAGATCCGAAGAGGAAACGGTCACTAACCTTGCAGCCACATGCAGCCAGGGCAGGTGCCAGAACCAGGCTAACCTTGTCACCCACACCTCCTGTGGAGTGTTTATCCACAAGCTGCTGGTGCCAGGCCTTGGGCCACTCCAGTTGCTGCCCAGACTCTGCGAGGGCCCGAGTCAGCACAGAAGTCTCCTCTAGGTCCATGCCCTGCAGCCGAATGGCCATCAACATGGCCCCTAAGTATGGATATAATGAGCGAGGTGTTCACGGAGCCTGAGTTTTCTGGGGCCGTGATGGTGGTGGGGTCATCCTTGAGGTGCGTATGGGGCAATTGGGGATCAGGGTCGAGTTAGGGCTTCCCACACACCAATTTGTGTGTCCTGTGCTCCTCCATCCATCACTGCGTGCACGAAGTTTCTGATATCTGCTTCGCTCAGATGCCCTCCATCTCGCTTCAGGCGAATCAGCTCAGGCAGCTGCCTGTTCTCCCCACTCCCTCCCCCTGAGTCGGCACCAGCTGTCTCTGGGGCCGAGGGAGGTGGTGTCCCTGGAGCTGCCATTGCTCCAGCCTATAAGGAACATTGAGACACCGCTGGACCTCACTCCCACCCCTCACCCCATCCATGTCTTTGAAGTCTCATGTTTTACTCAACACCCAGCACTGCCCCATACTCAACCCCCTCCGGCTTCCATTTCTCGACCTCACAACTCGATCCCCGTCTAGTACCTATTCAGTTCAGGGGCCTTTACCAGGTTTCTGGATCTGGCTCCGTTCCGGCCTGTTATCCCTCAGCCCTGTGTGGACTTAGGTGCAGAGGAGACAGTTCACGTCAGGGACTACCGTTGGGGACAGCGCGGGGTGGGGGGGAATAAGGCTGTCCCAGTAGGCGGCACTTGACAAGGTAAAGCCAATCACCTCTTACGCTGCTTCCTACCTGCTATCTTGTGGCTAATTGACACTGCCAGGACCTTAAGGGTCTGGTTACAGCGCTCCAGACCGCAGTTCGCTCTGCTTAGTTCCCTGGGGTCTTGGTATCTATGGGTCCCGGGCACTGCTTGCCCTGTTCGACTGAGACTATCGATGCTCGAACCCGTCACGTCCTCTCCTCCCCCATCCTCTCCTTGCCCGCTTCGGAGAGAGAAAGAGAGACACACACACAGCACTGACTTAGAAAGCTTTAAGTAAACAACCGAGGGCCGGTGCGTGCGTGCGAGCGAGCTTGCTGGCGTCAGTCGTCCACGTGGTACCGTATCATGGGGGCCAGGTAGTCGGAGTGCCTGATCCCGAAGGTCCAGCCGCGAGGCTTCCGGTGCTGCGGGCCCGGGAGACGCGGCTGACCTTACCAAGCCAGCTGTTCCGCTTCATACAGGGATGCCAATTCCCCGGGGATATTTTGACCCATGCCTTAGACCTCAGACCGTCATCCCCTGCCCCTTGACCCTCGACTCCAGACCACCTTGTCCACGCTGTAGGATGCTGGTCCTGGCTTCTTGGTGGTCTCTTGAGGTGGCGGAGTCCGCCCCAACATCGTGAACTGCGGGGCTCGAGTCTTGTAGACCCCAGGGTTCACAACGTGGTAGGCACAAGGGCCTGGGGTCTACGATGACAGGGATAGGTGCAGGGTCCAGCCTCCATTCCTTGTGAACTTTTTGTTCTCAAGCTAAAAATCTCACTGTGTACCGCAGGCTGGCTTTGAACTCCCAACCCTCCTGCCTCAGTTTCGGTGAGTTGTCTACGGTTCTGCACCACCCCCAACTTCGCTGACCCTCTTGATTACTAGAGATTGCATATGCAGCTGCCAGCCCCCCCCCCCCCCCCCCCCCCCACCTTGCTGAGGTCCTCGAAGCAGCTGCCCACAGTGCTGCGGCCGTAGATGGAGTAAGTTGGGGCTGAGACTTTGTTTATGACTCGTGGGCCCAAGAGCGAAGGCACGGTGTAGGACCCAGGACCTAAGGAGGAGCCAGCAAGAGGGCCCATTGGTCCAGTCTCCTTGTCTTTATGGCAGACTGTGGGTTGGGGTGTGGGAAGGTCCCTAGTGCTGGATCCAGCCCTTCAGGCCTCACCTGGGGTTTGTTGCTTTGAGAGGATGCCCCAGTTTCGGGGAGCAATGGTATGCCGAGGAGCGCTGGGGTACGTCACATTTCCCGCGCGTTCTGGGGAGTACCTGTCTATGGGATGGACCAAGAGTGTGGGCCAGAACTGGGGTGGGGTGAGGTACGGGAAGCCTAGCCTGGGGTCTTGGCTCTAAGGGAGAAATGGGAGCCACAGGGAAGTTCGGGTTTCTGGGTATGGGTAGGAGGTTCCCGGGGATTCTGGGCTTGGGGTGGGGGTGGGGTGAATTTTCTAGCGGGCGTTCTTGGAGGCAGTTCCACGTTGGGGAGACCCGGGCCCCAGGGTGCTGACCCGGTCCAGGAGTGAGGACGGGCGCGGTGTGGCTTAGGCGACCGTAGATGGAGAAGGCCGGGGAGCCAACGCTGCCGCGCACGGTCATGCGGGCAGGCACTAGGTAACTCGGCCCCGGTCCGCAGGTTGCATGCCGCAAGGGTAGACGCGAGCCGAAGGAGAAGGCGGGGGCTCGCGGCCGAGACGGGTCGTGCAGTTTGTAACCTGCGGGAGCATTCCCGGGTCACCGCCGGCAGGGCCCAGGGGCTGCCAGCTCCTTTCCCTCTCCGGTTTCACCAAGGCAGCCCCAGCACAGAACCTCTTATTTTTTGGGCTCCCCCCCTTTTTTTTTTGCCTCGGGCACAGTTCTCCTGTTCCTGGACTCCAGGCACCAGTGTAGACCGCCCACAGTCCCACCTTCCCGGTTTCCTCCCCTGCATCCACCCTTGCTACCGGTGTTCGTGGGCAGCTTGTATTTTGGCCCCGGGCCTCTGTAGAGCGCCGCGATGGGGCCGCGGGGCCGATGTGGCCGCCAAGTGCCGACCCAGACTTCTGAGCCCATAGCGCAGGTGGGGGCGCTTACGGCTTGCAGCACCTGTGGATAGAATTCGTAGGGGACACACTTCCCCAGCTCCACTCAGGACCAGCACGACAGAGGACAAAACTAACACGTATCCCAGGGCACCGGAAAACAAACAGTTTCCCAGGATTGGAGGCGGGTGCACCAGGGCAGGGGCGAGCTTCAAAGCCATCATGGCCTTCTATCCCAGGCGCTTTGGTACCAATGTTTAAACACAGGCCAAGTTTGAACCCAGACGGTGGAAAGGGAACGGCCTGGAGTTTTTGGGTGGAAGAGGGGTTTTAAAGGTCTTGGGAAAGGACGTCCTGGGGAGGGCCCTTTTAGGGGCACAGGGTGCTCTGAGGGGAGGCCTGGAGACGCACTGACCTGCTGTGGTGGTTACCCTCTTGGGGGAAGCAAAGCTGGGGAGCTTGACAACCCTCTTGTCAAACTCTCATACCCCATTATGTCCCGTCTGGCTTCCTGGCAACCAGACCAAATGCTTGACCCCACCCTCCGGGCCCTTCAGTAATGTCGCCTGCTGGGGTCTCCTGTTACTGCGGAGACTGTGTGCTGGCTGGCCATTAGGCTGGGTCACAGATCAATGCACCCATTCCAGAATGAGATAAATCCGCAGACAAAAAAGCTTTAAGAATAAAGGAATAAATAATACAGAAAGCTGTATTTATGTATCTATATAAGCCCATGTAACATTTACAAAACTAATGTTTTGGGCCAGAAAATAATACAAATTGATTAGAGAGGCTACAGTCTAAGACTTGATCACATTCCAGAAAAAAAAAATTCTCAACAATTTTTTTTTAAAAAGTAAACTTAAAAAAAAAAAAAACACCTTTGGGACCAAAACTCAAATCTTGAGTCATGAATGATAGAAAATACTTCAGAGGAAAACTGAAGGATCTCCTGAAGGATGCATCTAAAGTAGAGAAAAATCCATAGCCCTAAGATAACCTCAGCGTTAATGAAAATTTTAATGACATTTAGAATTCATTTTGCAAACAGAGGAAAAGGAAAACAGCAAAAGAAAAAAAAAAGAAGATAGAAAAAAAGAAAGCGGAGTAAACAGGTAGTTCCAGCATTTAGAGCTGAGGCAGGAGGATGTCAAGTTCAAGACCAGCCTGAAATACGATGTGACCCTGACTCAATAAAAACAAAAGAAAATGGAGCAAAAGGATACAAAATAGCAGGAATGATAAATATCTATTTGCAAAATCATGGCCTTTCAGTGGGCTTAATAAGGGTGAAAGTAAATAGCCAACAAAAAATTGGATACCAAGCCAGGTGTGGTGGTGTACACCCGGTATCCCTGTTCTCAAGACCCAGAGGCAGGTTGGCTGTGAGTTCAAGGCCAGCCTAGTCCACATAATGAGTCTTTAGAGTCTCTTATGTATAGAATCTGCAAACAAGGGTACTTTGTTTTCTATTCCTATATGTGCCCATTTTTATTTTCTTTTTTACTGCTGTAGCTAAGACTTCAGGAAACATGCTGAATAAAAATGGAGAAAGTAATCATTCTGCCTTGTTCCTGGTTTTAGTGAAAATGCTTTTAAATGTTTTTCTCTTTAGTATGATGCTGGCATGCCTAGTGTTTATTGTATTAAAACATGTTCCTTCTGTCCTTTTTTCGTCAGGGATTTGATCATAGTTGGGTTTTATCAAAGCCTTTTTGGGATCTATTGAGGTGACCACATTCTTTCTGTCTTTGAGGCCATTTATGCTTATATTACATAAATTTAGGTATGTTGAACCATCTTAGAATCTCTGGAAGGAACTAAAGTCTATTTTTTTGTTTTGATTTTTCTGAGACAAGAGTTTCTCTGTGTAGCCCTGATTGTCCTGGAACTTGCTCTGTAAACCAGGCTGGCCTTCTGCCCTCAAGTACTAGGATTAAACTGGCCTGTCTTTTCTCTCTTTAGTTTGGCTGGTGGTTTGTTGATATTGTTTTTGATACTGATTTTGTATTTGGTATTGATATTGCTGACTGTTTTGTTGATTCTTTGTGTTGTTTTCAGCTTTCTTTTTAAAAGATATTATTTACATGAGTGTTTTGCCTGCGTGCATGTCTGGGCACCATCTGCATGCAGCATCTGAGGAGGCCAGGAGAGAGTGATGGGTGCTCTGGGACTTGATTTAATAGATGGTTGTGAGCCACTATGTGTGTGTTGGGAATTGAACCTGGGTCCTCTGCAAGTCTCTGCTCCTAACTGCTGAGCCATCTCTCCATCTTATCTTTAAAATTTCTATTTCATTAACTTTTTGTTGTGACAGATCTTATTTCTTCCTATTTTCTTTTTCTCTTTTCCTTTTTCTTTCTTGAGACACATTCTTGCTATAAAGCCCTGGCTGTCCTGGAGCTCACTATATAGACCAGACTAGCCAAAACCTCACACAGATTCCCCTTGCCTCTTAATCCTGAGTGCTGGGATTAAAGGCATGTACCATCAGACTTGGCAGAGGTTAACATTTTCTAAGCCTTAAAATTAGTCTGGAGATGGGATTATAAACATCACAACATGATGTTTCGATTATAGCTACTCTTATGTAAGAAATTTCAATAATGGAGAAATTTTTATATATGATGGTCTTTGATAGTCTGCAGAGTTTAAGTGTCTTGGAGGTTCTTTTGTATTTGGCTCTACATGTGAAATTAAGTATGTGCTGTGCTGTGCCATCTCTGTAGAAATCAACCTTAACTATGTAAACAGATGTCCTTCATTCCTCTTATGGAGATGGAGGGGTAGTCTTTAGTGAGCCCTGGGAAAGAGGGCTCCTGGGGGGTTGCTAATGTTAATCAGATCTTCCTGGGCCCCCCTTTTCTCGATTTTTTTGTTGTTTTCTTTGACATTTGTGCTGTCTGTGCCATTAAAGCCAACACAGACCAGTTGTGTGACTCACAATGTATAACCTTTCTAGCAGTTCTACTTTTAAAAACTTTGTCTGGTAAGCAATGAATGCCAGTGTCTGTCCTCTTATGGGGGCTGGCAGCACCTCCTCAGCCATTTTCCTCACAGAAGCTCCCTAGGCCAGTGGGCCTCAACCTGTGGGTCGTGACCCCTGTGGGGGGTCGCATATCAGATATCCTGATTATCAGATATTTGCATTATGATTCATAACAGTAGCAAAATTACAGTTATGAAGTAGAAGTGAAAGTGAGTTTATGGTGTGTGGGGGGAGGTCACCACGACATGGAGAACCGTATTAAAGGGTCACAGCATTAGGAAGGCTGAGAACCACTGCTCTAGACACAATGAAGGTTTGCCCTCTGTCTGACTCTGGCAAAGGTAGGTGCTTCCTTTTTGACAGTACTAAGTCTACCCAGCTCATTTCCTGAGGCTCCACCCTCACCCCATCCCCAATATGTCGTCCCCCAAGGTCCTCATTCCTTGTGGGTTTATGTTGATTCCTGCAATCATGCCCCCTCTGAAGATCCCCTGTGATCCTCCTCACTCTAACCGCTCTGGATTTTCAGAAGCCTGTGTGCAGCTGACAAGACACTCACCAGCCCCTAAAGAGCTACAGGGGAATCTGTCCACTATATCTATTGCCGATCCTGGGTCTCCAAACATAACTACAAAAGCAGACAGAGCCCAAGACTGGGACAGAGAGTAAAGACAAGGCAGTCCTCTGCAGTTCAAGTCCACCTTAAGGTGTGAGGCTCACTCCACCCTCTGTCACTTAATAGTTCTGTGGGAAGCTGGGATGGGACCAGGCCAGATGAGATAGCTGAGGCTCAGCAGGGCCCAGGCGAGGTGCCAGGGACACTCTTGGCACCCCCTTGATGTCTGAGTCAAAGGAGTCCTTGGGTCCATTGTTTCAGAGGAAGAGAAGGTCTACTTCTCGTTGGGAGAGCTACCTTTATTCTGGGGGAACCCCAGTCTCTTTTATGCAACTGGGTCCTACCTGGTAAATACATTAAGATTCACTCCTGATGTGGATTTCTGGGATGATCGTGTAGAGAAGGTCCCTCCCTAAAAAAAAACCACACAAACAGACAAACACAAGTACCTATGCTTAATGGAGTGTCCACGTGCCAGCCTGGGAGAAGTGAACGGGATGAGGAGGTGGGACGGATGGAGGTTTGGTTCAGACAGGAAGGCAGAGGAGTGAGAGAGTACCTTGGAACTGGCCTGGTAGAGCACCTGAGCCAGAGAGGGTCTCTGAAGGATCTGGGTACAGGTTGATGAGTGACTACAGGAGAGGCAGACTGTGCCCTGAGCTTTTCAGAGGCACACTGAGGTGGTACCTGAGCAGGCCAAGAGGGAGAAAGGAGGCCAGAGGGCTCTGGCGTTAGGTGTTAGGTTAGTGGTGGAATAAGACGAGTCACAGGGAGAGAGGGAGGTGCAGTGTTTGGGTTTCCTTCAGCCTTCCTCACTTCTATGTTACCCTCTTGACTTGAAAACGACATTATTGTTAGTTTTCTTAGAGCAATGCTTGGTAGCTGCTGGACGAGGAAGGATGAGAATGGTACTTGTCCCAACCACGACCAGATGATCACTCACATGACCCTCATCCCAGGCTTTCGTGTTCAGCCTGAAAGACCACCAGAATAAAGCCCCCCCCCATCCCTGGTGGCTATGGTGGAACTGGCCTCTCCGGTTTCTGGTAATTTCATCGGGGCTGCATCATGTTGCTAAGACTCAAGATAACATCTCCCAGTGTGGTAACCCTTCCTTCCCAGCGATCTTGTATAGCCTATAGGGTGTAGGGTGAATTTAGGGGTATGGGTGTCTTTAGAGCAGGAGATAATGGGGTGACATGTTGTCAGAGTGTACATGAACAGTGCTATTTGTCCCTAGTATCCTGAGCAAAGAAGGAAGGGACAAGGGCTGGGATGGGGGATAACAGGGCAGGCTGTTGCAAACCATAGATTCTCTTGATACATCCAACTGGGTTTACTGACAAGCCTGAATGCAGGCAGGTATCCCTCAAGGGCCTGGTGAACCAGTCCACCTTAACAGGGCTGTCCTAGGTGAGCTGCTTGTGATGCCATCTGTACA